GGGACCCTATGGTTACGCCGGTGTTCAGGTGTCACCGGTGACTGAGGTGGCGGTGCTGGCAAATAGACCCTGGTGGGAACGGTACCAACCCGTCACCTACGAGATCAATGGCAGGAGTGGTAATGAAAAGCAGTTCGCAGATATGGTCAGCAGATGTAATAAAGTCGGGGTCAGGATATACGTGGATGTAGTGCTCAACCACATGACTATGGCTGAGACCGGTATGTCAGACCTGTGCCCAGGTGTTAGCCTATTGGGTATTAATTTCAATATGTTTACACCTAATCCATAGGCAAGGGAACGGCAGGTCATACATATGATGGCAAGAATTTCAAGTATGAAGTTCCGTATAGTGAACTAGACTTCCATCAGCACCCGGACTGCCCGTCCCCTGACCTCAACATTCGGGACGACAAGTACGACGACCCCATAGAGGCCCGTAACTGTCAGTTGGGAGGGCTCCGGGACTTAGATCAGGGCAAGGATTGGGTGCAACAAAAGCAGTCCGAGTTTCTCAACAAACTCATCGACATAGGGGTCGCGGGGTTCCGGTCGGATGCCTCCAAACACCAGTGGCCGGCAAACCTGCAAAGTATTATCTCAAAGCTACATACGCTGAACACCACGTACTTTCCGGCTAACAGTCGACCCCTTTTCTATCACGAGTACATATCCGGCACTAATATCAAGGCCTCTGAGTATACGCCATTGGGTCGAGTGATTGAGTTTAAAAACTACGACAATTTGGCCAGGGTGTTTCNACGGCTATATATTAAACGTGTTTCGTATCCGAAACCCATACAACCCGTCCTCCCATGAGAGGCCAGTTATCCTATGGCACGGCATTACACAGGACTCGGATGTATGGCTTATCTCAGCCGAGGGAGTGTTGAACGGAAAGGGGGTTTATATGGAAAATAATCTCGTGGTTAATGACTGCCACCAATCGGTTACTCAAAACCTGGCGTTCACTCTATCGGCCTGTGGTTATGATGTATGGCTCCCCAACTTCAGGGGAACGACATACTCAATGGGACACCTGATTTTGGATCCAGTGTTCAGTTATTTAAAATTATTTTATTTATAATTTTAAGTATTATGCAATATATGCTTGATTATACTTTTAGACCAAACCTATTGGCAGTACACGTTCACCGAATTGGGTTTATATGATGTCCCGGCAGTGGTTCAATATGTGCTCAGGGTCACTGATAAAAGTAATTTAATTTATAAATTATAATAAATTTAAAATTTATTTTTTGAAAAATTTTCTACAAGTTATTCATAACTATTTAATTTTTAATAGTTGCTATTTTTACAAACAAGCAACAATTAAGTTAGTTAGTTGTAATTAATCAAGATTATTTTGGATTTTAATAGGTTCGGTGGCCTACATCGGTCACTCCCTGGGGTCGACCGCAATGTTTATACAGTTATCTCTGATCCCAGAGTTTGAGCGCTTAGTGAAGCCATTCATAGCGTTAGCGCCGTTTGTATTCATGTCTCACATGACAAGCACTTTGAGATATGCCTTACCTTTTGAGCCAACGCTAAGGTATAGTCGAAAAAAGTCACAAAAAATTCACAATAAATAATAACCCGCTCTTAGCTCCTATACAATACCAATTGGCATACCGGTGACGATCGCTCAGTTCATAGGTGTCTGGATGTGTGGTAATCAGTACTTTAGGCAACTGTGCGCCGATATGTTTTTCTATAGTGCCAGTGGTTATGACCCAGACAATTTAAACACCGTATAACTATTCATTAAAACTTATTTTTCATTATATTAAACTGTTCTTGCACCATTAGACTCGCATTCCCATATACGTAAGCCATACCGGTGCCCCATATTCATCATGGGTGTACGCACATGTGGGTCAACTGATCAGGGACAGGGGGTTCAGACTTTTTGATTACGGTGTTGAGGGTAATTGGGAACGGTATGGACAGTCAACTCCACCCGATTATCCACTTTCGAGGATTAAGTCCAAAAATATTGCCATATTTTATGGCTTTAATGATTTAGTGGCCAATGTTACTGATGTCCAATATCTTATCAAGCAACTTAATGGTATGTAATATTGTAAACGGCATAATGTTGAAATTAATTGTTTGTAATTTTAATTTTAGTGCCACTTTTGGACAATTATGAGGTGCCATATAAACCCTGGGCTCACACAGACTTTAACCTCGGTGTTTATCAAGGCTATTATATAAATAAAAGGATTCTAACCTTATTAAAATAGCAACATACATTATAATTTTTACAAAGATTGCATTAAAATATGTGCTGGTTGTTTTAATGTGCATATCTAAATTAAAAGTGAATCCTCAATTGTATTTTATTGTATTTTTGTATTAATTTTGATTTAATTTATTTTAAAAAACAGTTGTTGAGATATACCAATAAAATGAATTAAATATATTTTTATTTATATGAAAAACAGTCAAATAATTTTACATTTTTTATATATTGCAATAATTACCGAAATTACCTGTACAATATTAATATTAAATGTAATGCAGTGTAGTTAGTAATCTAAATTGCTACATTATGACTGATGTAGTATTTTGAGTTTTAATATTATTTATTGCTTTTGTCGCGGTGTAATACATTAATATTTTTAATCAAATTACTATAGTATAATAAAACAATTTGAGGCATTTTTGACAACAATTTTAATTGCATTTGTGATTTGTAAAGATTTTATAGCATAGTACGCGTCGACTATTAAAAATCATTTTATTATAAACTTATATTTTCAACACAATAATTCAGTATTTAAGTGAACCGAAAAAATGTACAAAATATTAATGAAAACTATTTTAATATTGCAATCAATATATTTACTACCAAGCTTATATACCGACATCAACGTGACACCGGGTAACGAGTGTTGGGAGCGGAACTACACGGAGTTTGAGGTGGAGTACTGCCGCCGGGACGCCATATTTTATTGGGACGTCTACCTGGACGTGGAGGCCACGGACGACACCCGGAAGGCCTACTGTTGCGCGCTTTACGACTATTTTGATTGCGTTAAGAAAGCGGCCAAAAGTCAGTGCAAAGACAATGAGACGGCATATCGAGACGAGATCACTGACCAGGTTAACAAAATTGAGGACGATATAGGGGATTTGGTGTGCGAGGGCACCTACACACACGGCTCGATGAAGTGTGAGTTCCCCGTCTGGGCCAGTGTTTTGTGTTTGTTGGGTTTCCTGTTAGGTATGGGTATATTGGCGTACCTGATGTTTGGTGTCTGTCGACTACAGTCCAGGTTTGGGGAAAGGCAATTGAAAGACAAAAGTTAGAATTTGAATTATAAAAATGTATCTTGGTTGTTAGTTCACAGTATTTATCAAGATTAATAAAATACAATTATAAAGTCATCATTATATATAACTTAATCGTAAAAATATTATTATTTAGACTTGTTATTAGATTTAAATAAATAAAGTAATAATTATTTTATATAGCGTTAAGTGTTATTTTTGTTGGAAATATTTAATCAATAATAAAATTGTTATGTTACAAATGTTCATTGGTTATTTTATTAATAAGAATAATCTAAATTCTTGAAAATCATTTATTATAACAATTATAATTTATTAAGAATTTATAAAGGTTATAATAAACTTTAAATATAATAAATTATTTATACCGGTATAGTATTTTAAATTAATTTAACAAGATATCTAAAAATGAATGCTTAAACAAATAATTATTATCAATAAAACATTTGTCAAATTTAAATAAATTTCCCAGTTCAATATTAGTGCTGTTTGATAATCAATTCAAATGTGCTAAGAATAAAAGGATTTTAGAAACATCTGTTCCCTAAGCATACCAGTGCTTACAGTACAAGTGGCTATACCTGTGCCATAAATACGAAAGTTTTACGCAAACCTTATATCACATAATGAGATAAAAAAGTGTATTGAGATATGCATTGAGAGAATTCCCACCGATTTCTACATAATGTATAATTAAATGTGTTTTTCCTATCGATTACTATCAGATTCATGGGAACTCGCGAGACAAACGAGACATACCTGTGCTGATGGCAGGCATATATGTGTTTGCACAGAGATTTTGTATCAAACGAGATAAGTGTGCGAAGTGTGAGCGCCAGTGTTTCTCTCGACTAACTATATAAACAACTCGCAAACCATAGACTAATCATTCAATTGTAATAAAAAAATTATTACTAAAAAACTTTTACAAAATGTTTACTAAACTAAACATTTCACTGATCGTAGCCATAGGCCTGGCTATAGCCGTGTGCTGTACTGCCAGCCCTTACAGCGACCCGCACTTCGTGGAGGACCGGCAGGTGATCGTCCATCTCATGGAATGGAAGTACTCGGAGATCGCCAAAGAGTGTGAGCTATTTCTGGGACCCTATGGTTACGCCGGTGTTCAGGTGTCACCGGTGACTGAGGTGGCGGTGCTGGCAAATAGACCCTGGTGGGAACGGTACCAACCCGTCACCTACGAGATCAATGGCAGGAGTGGTAATGAANTTTCTGGGACCCTATGGTTACGCCGGTGTTCAGGTGTCACCGGTGACTGAGGTGGCGGTGCTGGCAAATAGACCCTGGTGGGAACGGTACCAACCCGTCACCTACGAGATCAATGGCAGGAGTGGTAATGAACAGCAGTTCGCAGATATGGTCAGCAGATGTAATAAAGTCGGGGTCAGGATATACGTGGATGTAGTGCTCAACCACATGACTATGGCTGAGGCCGGTATGACATATCTGTGCCCAGGTGTTAGCGTAATAGTTATTAACTTCAATATGTTTTTACACCTAATCCATAGGCAAGGGAACGGCAGGTCATGCATACAATGGCAAGAATTTTACGTATGAAGTACCGTACAGTTCCCTAGACTTCCATCAGCATCCGGACTGCCCGTCCCCTGACCTCAACATCCGGGACGACAAATACGACGACCCCATAGAAGCCCGTAACTGTCAGTTGGGAGGGCTCCGGGACTTAGATCAGGGCAAGGATTGGGTGCAACAAAAGCAGTCCGAGTTTCTCAACAAACTCATCGACATAGGGGTCGCGGGGTTCCGGTCGGACGCCTCCAAACACCAGTGGCCGGCAAACCTGCAAAGTATTATCTCAAAGCTACATACGCTGAACACCACGTACTTCCCGGCTAACAGTCGACCCCTTTTCTATCACGAGTACATATCCGGCACTAATATCAAGGCCTCTGAGTATACGCCATTGGGTCGAGTGATTGAGTTTAAAAACTACGACAATTTGGCCAGGGTGTTTCNATAATTGAATTTAATGACAAATAATTCTTATTATTTAATAATAATTTAGAAATTTTGTTTTTATATTTTATAATTAATACGAAACCCTTATATTCGTAATATCAGATAAGATTTTTATTTTCTGTACTAATATTATATGACAAATAACTGTATTTTAATAAATTATTGTTAAATTCTATATGTTATTTGTAATATAATAAACTGATATTTTAAATATGAATATGAGTATACTTACCATTTATATAACTTGTGAGTTATTTATGATACTAATTCAAATATTAATTGACAAAACATTTGCCATCGATCTAGATAATTTAAGAAACTCTGTATTTATAAATATTATGAATTAATTGAACTGATCTTGTTAAAAATAATTTATTATCAAAATTTAGGTCCAATTAATACAATCGCGAGGTTTCGCCGCCGAGACCCATGCGGTCATCACTAGTGACGGCTATATATTAAACGTGTTTCGTATCCGAAACCCATACAACCCGTCCTCCCATGAGAGGCCAGTTATCCTATGGCACGGCATTACACAGGACTCGGATGTATGGCTTATCTCAGCCGAGGGAGT